GGGTGAAGAGAAGAAGAGATTGACATGTAGTCGATGCAAGGAAAGTGGTCATACAAGGTTGACATGTAGATCACCAGTGCCACAATCATCTTTTCCTCTACCAAATATGGATCCTCATCAAAATCCAAAGCTCATATGGTCAAGCAAAAGGAAATCAAAATCGCAATCATCTTAAAATCCAATCACAACCGGCTTCACCTTTGGGACTGTTAACTTAGGTGATTTTAAATGCAAACGTTGTATTATGTGGATTTTATGTGTGAACTTTTAACATTTTCAGTTAGGCATGTATTAGTAACTTGAGTTTGAAATTGCTATGATTGTTCAGTTGTTATCACTATTAGGCATTCATTGACTATCGCAACACGGAAATGCGTTGTAATCATCTTAATGTCTATCGCAACGCGGAAATGACTATCGCAATGCGAAATGAAAATCGCAACGAGAGAATCGCAATGCGAAATGAAATCGCAACGAGAGAATCGCAATGCGAAATGAAAATCGCAACGAGGGAATCGCAAAGCGAATGAAATCGCAACGCGAATTAGTTTCGCGTTGCGATTTTGTCGTTGCGATTTCATTTCGCGTTGCGATTCTCTCGTTGCGATTTTCATTTCGCATTGCGATAATCATTTTGCCTTCACATAATGCAGATTGAAATCAACAAAATCAACCATTACATTTCAATTAATTAACAAGCACAAATAAGAATTATGTTCACATCAATTAAACAAATCATCTTTTACAAATCATCTTTACAAATCATTAAACAATAAAAATTATTTCCTCATCTACTATTGAATCACTTTTGCAGCCATACAGCTCACTTCTGAGATTAACCTGCAGAAACCAAACATTGCTCAAACAACACTTTCTACACATCTAAAACCTACAAACAGCAAATTATTGAATTCTAGGTACTAACCAAACATTTTCAAACCAAAAGCCTATAACTTACCAATTGTTTATGGACATTTTATAACGCGGATGCAGGTAGGCAGCGTCTCGTATATCGATCTACCATATAATGCCGAAACCACAAGCCTACTGCAGCTCTATCTCTATCGGTAGGAGGTAGATACTTTATACTTCCTGTGATCAAACGCTCCAACGCCAAGCATACGAGAGGACCACAATCCCCTCTGGTCCTTTCGTTTGTTGTGGTGCGGTCTGTCTCTGCTAACTGTAATATTGAGCTTATTGGCTTCTTGTTTCCAGACGAGTCCAATAATTTATTGCATCCAAGAATTTAGCCAATGAGAGCTCCATCCCTTAATAATATATCTTAAATCCCAATGATATGTAATTTATCATGTTGTCATATATTGCCTTAAGGGATGGGAGCTGAAGCTCGAGAGGTTCCAAAATAGGGATAACACCTGCAATCATAAGTAATAATTCATTCATTTGCGCACTTATTTATGAATACCTTTAAACTCAATCTAAAATAAATACTAACCTTATCGACCTCCCACCATGCAGGATAAAGTTTAGCTTGTCCATTGCCCAACGCAAATGATTCATCTCGTTGATTCTTCAAGTGAACGGCGTTAAAAGACGTCGGCATAATTGTATATCGTGTATTTCTTTTATTTTCCTTAAGTTTCCTAATTATTAGAAGACGTGACACCCACGCATCGATATGCTGTTTTACAAAAAAACATATTAGTAACTTACATAAATTAAAAAAAAATAATCAAATTGAAATATAAGAAAAATATAAGACTTACCCCTCCATCGAAATAGCCATTGTCTTCGACCCCTAATAATACGCCCCACCAATACCGATCAAGAAACAAATAGATATCATTGTTGAGCTTGCATATGTCAGTGAAACACCCCTGGCTCCACTCATGTAGATAAAAATCAACTGCGGTCTTAGCCCAAAGGGATATACTGTGGACGGTTCAGTTTCCGATATATTAAGAAATTCGTGTTTGGAATTTGAAAAAAATATATGCATTAATACGAATGGTGCTATGTAAATCGCATTGCGATAGTCAGATTCGCATTGCGATTTACGTATTCACATTGCGATTTTCCTAATTCGCATTGTGATTTACGTAATCGCGTTGCGATTTACGTAATCGCGTTGCGAATTAGGAAAATCGCAATGCGATAGTCAGAATTGCGTTGCGAATCTGGAAACTGATTTGCGATACCAGAGATCGCGTTGCGAATTATCGATCGCATTGCGATTTAGTTGGTCATTTTGACGAATCCAAAAAAAGTTGGTTAAAATCGTATATTATAAGGCATTTTTGGTCACTGAGGTTATTTTCTCAAAATATAAATAACAACTAACAATTGGCCAAATGAAGATGCAAATATAAATTTAAGGACTAAATTGAATACACATAAAAGTGAAAGACTTAAAATTGAAATAAATTAAAAAATACAAAAGGATGAAATCTAAATAAATGTAAAATGTTAAGAAATAATGAAAAATATAATAAATTGCATTCATTTAAAAAATTGAAAAAATTATTATATATATATATATAGTTTACATGTAGTTTATTAATAAACTATGTAATATATATATATATATATATATATATATATATATATATATATAAATATATAATATATAAGATTTATGTATATAGTTTATATATAGTATATTAAGTACATATATATTACTATATAAATAGTTTACATTAAAAATTATATAGTTTATATATAAACTGTAAAATTTATTAAAGAACTATGTGTAAAAGGTATATAAATTATATAAAATATTAAAATATATAATTTATATTAATATAATATAAGTTTATATATAAACTATATATATAAACTATATAATTATTATAAGTTATATATATAAATTATGTTTATATTAACTATATATATAAACTATGTATATAAACTATATATGTATAAACTATAAAAAGTATATAGTTTATAAACTATAATTTATATTAATATAGTGTATATATATATGTATGTATGTATGTATGTATGTAAATTATATATGTATAAACTATATAAAGTATATAGTTTATAAATTATAGTTTATATTAATATAGTATATAGTATATATATATATATATATTATATATACATATATATATGAACTATATAAAGTAATAAAGTATATAATTTATAAAAAAACATTATGCATAAACTATATAAATTAATAAAATATATAATTTATATAAACCCTAAACCTTAAATTATATAAACTATATATGTATAGACACAGTTAATAATTCATATATAGTTTATATAAACAATATTTTATATAAATTATATATGTAACATTAGCCTATAGTCTATAAACAATAGTTAATATATGTAACCTATAGTATATGTATACATGTAAACTATATATGTAACTTATAATATATGTATGTATAAACTATGTATAGTATATATAAACTATATATATATATATATATTACATATAGTATATGTATATATACAATCTATTTGTATGTAAACTATATATGTAACCTATAGTTTATAAACAATAGTTTATATTAGTGTACTATAAAGTTTATAACTTATACTATATAATTTATAAACTATAGTTTATATTAACTTACTATATAGTTTATATTAATGTTAATGATCTTAACTATAATTTATATTAATATAGTATATAGTTTATAAACTATAATTTATATTAAATTAGTAGATAGTTTATAAGCTATAATTTACATTAATATTAACATATTAACTATAGTTTATATTAATATAGTATATAGTATTGTCGTAACCATTTTTCGGCAGGACAATCGTTTAATTGTTTTAAAAAACGATTACACTTTAATTTGGAAAATATGTGATTTTGGATTAAATTGGATTAAATCGAAAAGAGTCGCCATCAACCTTTGGGTTAGGTAGGTCGAATATCTAAAAGCGTCTTTTAAAAACAATTTTAAGAAAAATTATTTTTTAAGACAAAAGCTGGTATGCGTTTACCAAAGATTCAATTAAAATGGGTTCGGGAGTCGGTTATGCGTGGGAAATGATTAGCACCCCCACAGTTCCCAAAACTAGTACTATATCGCTTACACGTTGTCTTAATGGCGGAAATCCTGAGTTAAACATCAAGTTAAAATATGACCAATTTTATTGAATATTAATTAATGTTTCAAATAAAATTAATTACAGAAAACCTCTTTTCGATTGACATTAATGCTTAAAATACCAATATAATAAAATATAAACTTAGGGATTAAATATCAAAAATAGAAATTTAAAATACCAAAATATCACAAACAAAAAAAATAAGGTATTAAAATAATAAAAAAAGATAGTTAAAAGATTAATAGTAAAAGTAGAAAATTAAGGAACTAAAATACCAAAACATATATTTAAAATATTAGAATAGAAAAATATAAATTTTAATAACTAAAGTAGTAAAATTAACATTTAAGAGACTAAATATAAAAATAGATAATTAAAAATTAAACAAAAAGTAAAATCTAATTAAGTTCTTAAAATTGAAAATACTAAATAATATAAGTATTAGAAAATGAAAATAATCCAAAAATAAAACTTGGAATAAAATAAACATAAACTTACAAGGATTAAATAATAATTAAACCTAATGCTAGATATTGACTAAAATGAATTATTTACTAATATGGTATCTAAATTCGAATATTAACAAAACTTATAAAAGAAATAAATTAGGACTAAAAAGAAACATGCAGAAAATTAAAAATCAACTGTATAAACAAACCGAAACTAATTACATTACCAATTAAGACTGAAGTTAAATTCGGGTAAAACATGGAGACAAGATTAGAAATACAAAAATATTGATCTAAGGACTATAATATATAAAACTAAAATATTAAAACTCAAAATAAGATAAATAAAACTTTATTTAATGACTATAAGGTATGGATACAAATCAATAGGGACTAAACGTGTAGTTATTCCATGACTGGAAAACCTGGATAGGATTAGGCTAAAACGACTGTGTTTTGCTAATCATATATAAGCCTATTCATAGGCTAAAATTTTCAATCCTTTCTCATTTCTTTTTCCTTTTAGTAGAATGAAGAGAGAGAGCTTGAGAAAAATGCTCTCAGTTCTCTCTTCAATGAGTTCGCCGGCGGTGGGTGGTCCACGGTGGCCGGCGTGGCGGCGTAGGGACCGAATGGTCTTAAAATTTTCCTCTCGTCACCCTTGACCCAAAATCGAACCCCTCTTAAACTAAAAATATCCCTAAAACCGTAGATCTAAGGATTTACCTCTCGAAGAATCGTTGAGCTTTGGTGATTATTTGGTGTTCCACCGACGAACGTGATGCTTGGTGAGCCTCTCCTCTTATTTTCCTTGTAATTCAAATGTTTTTTTGTTATTGCTCTATTCAAATGCCTCTGCCCCCTTTCCTTTCAACCGATTACATGCTTTTATAATGAAATTTGGTTGATGTCTGATGAATCCTCCACTGATGTACGAATAATGGTAGGGTATAGCACTACCGATATTCTGGATTTGTTTTAATTTAGAAAAATGCTCAGTGGATTTGGTTTGATTTTGCACTGATTTAGTTGAAATTGACATAGGCAATGACGACCCATGGTGGCTTCGATGACCGACGGTGAAGACTCGGTGTCAGTGGGACATGTGCGCCGATGGAATCTAGAAGAACTGTTGATGGTGGCTGGAGCTTGGTGGCATTACTGCTTTAGTTTAGTTTTAAAAACCCTAATTTCATATAGATTATTGTACTGGGCTGGTTTCGGGTTTTCGGGTTGGGCTCTTGTATTTTGGGCTTGTACTGATTTGTAATCTTCTTGGGTTTAGATAAAAACCTACAAACATGTAAAATAATATCAATTAATATTAATAAATACTAATAATAATAACAATCAAAACCCGAACAAAAATGGGTGTTTACACTAAGCTTGAACCGCTGGATTGAGTTCTTTCTTGTTATGAAAACTCTTTTCCATTTCAATGATCGCTCTTCTAATCTGGTGATTACTTGGTTTAATCAACACCTTTCTTTCATGATGATTATGCAAATGCAAAGATGTAAATGCAGATACAAATGCAATGGACGAAAAAATGGCATACACAAAAGAAATAAATTAATATGGGCAAAATAATCAAATAAAATTAAAAGATGATATTTAAAGATAAATATAACACCTACCCAATCATGATATCTACCCGATCATGCTTTTATTAGATATCGATCCTACCCAAACATGCTTTCTACCCAAAATAATTATTTTCAATGAAATTATCCTAACTGCATGGTATCTAATTTGCATGTTGTTATTCAACAAAAAATAAAAATGTTCAGACACGCTCCTCCTTTGTGTACAATTAATTTGGGTACCTAGTAGAGATTCGGTATAGTTATACTTAGGGTGATCGTTCTACGGTTCATTACATGCATGGTTTCAGCTCTAACGGGAAAAAAGTACTCGAATTATCCTTAATGTCAGTGCCCCCTTGTGCTACCAAACCCTCAATCCTAGACCATTACAGGCTCGTGTAGATCGAGTTCAATTCGAGAGGGTACATTCCCTTATGACTATGCGGAGAAACAATTTATCTCACGTAGACATAAGGTATATGAATCCCAAAGATTACTTGCTAAAACCCGTGCGGAAAAACAAATTATCTCACGTAGGCTAAGCTTTCATCTCAACTTAAAAGGGACGAAGCTCGTAAGTGAGCTTATGTTATGCAAATGCACGTTTTGTGTGTGTGGAAAAACTTTCAACCTTTTGACTCGAAAGAAAAACGAAACCCCTCGAAAAAAAACTTGAACATATCTGAAAGCAAAAATAAAAATGTTAGTATAATAATAAAAATAATGAAGCAATTAAAAACTTCAATAAAAGAATAATAAGTTAACTAAAGACTCGAACTCATAATTTCCACCACAACCACAATGAGTAAGCGACTTACAGCCTGACTCCTTAAAAAAAGTCCTTAGCAGAGTCCCCAAGCTGTCGTAACCGGTTTTAGGTGGAACAATTAAATGTTGTTTTAAAAACAATTACGATTTTTAATTTGAAAAATTTGGCGATTTTGGATTAATTGGATTTAAATTGAAAAGGAGTCGCCATCGACCTTTGGGATAGGTAGGTCGAATACCTAAAAAGTCTTTTAAAAACAATTTTAAGAAAAATCATTTTTAAGACAAAAGCTGGTCTGTGTTTACCAATTATTTGATTAAAACGGGCTCGGGAGTCGGTTACGCGTGGGGAAGGATTAACACCCCCATAGTGCCCAAAATCGGTACTATGTCGCTTACATATTGTCGTAATAGTGGAAATCACAAATCGAATATCAAGTTAAAATATACCTCATTTATTGAAGCTTAATTTGTTTTGAATTATTAATTAAAAGAGAAAATTCTTTACTAAAAAAGAAATCTAGACATTAGCAATCATTTGTTGGGAAAACCATTTCATCTATTTCTTATTCATAAAGAAAATTTCACCTTCATTGTTTTTTTTAATTCAAATCAAATATAAATTGACTATACTTTTTTTCATAAAATAATATAAATGACTCTTTAAAGAAAAATATATTGAATAATAAAATATTTATAATAATAATATTTTAAATCCTAAAATGAAATAAAATAATAAATTAAATAATTTAAATAATAAAAGTTTAAAAAATTAGATGATTAACCAAGCTAATAATTTATATAATTCATAATGTGAAAATAACACAATTTAAAACTCTTAAATATAATAAAACCCATAAAATTAGTATTAAAATTATTTAACATTATAGAATAAACTTGAAATAATTAAAAATATGCCAATTATAGTGAGAAAAAATAAATTCGTATAATATAATATGGTCGAATTAAAACAAATAATATTTTAATGAGGACTTAATATACAAATAAACCTTAAATAAATAATATTATAACAATAGCATTACTAAAATAAGATATTTAAAAATTTCGTTGCTAAATTAAATATTACCGAAAATATTATAACAAAAGAAATTAGTGACTAACATGTAGTAATTACAAACATTATAACTAAAGTCAAATAATAATGTGACTAAAATATAAATACTAAAAAAATTAAATACTTAAAATCAAATAAACATAACTTCATTTTATGACTTGAAAATGAAAATAGAAAGTCAGAAGAACCTAAATTGTGAATATCCCTAACTAAAATATACGTGAAAGGTCCTTGTTGAAACTACGTAGTTTTGCAAAGGATATATAAGTTCAAAGTTGGGCTTTTATTTCTTCATTCCTCATTTTTTTTTATTTTTAACAGAAATGAAAGAGAGAAAGAGAGTTAAAACTCTCTCAACTCTCCTCTCACCGGGAAAGGAAACCGCGGTAGAGCTCGCGGTGGCGAACGGCGGCGCACGACGGTTCCGGCGACCGGAGGTACCCAACCTCCCTCAAAATACTTCTTCTTTCACCCTAAACCTATTCCCCAACTTATCTTAGCCTAAAAACACTTCTTAAGTTGTAGATCTAAAGGTTTATACCTTTCGAAAGCTTTGAAACTCAACGTCCGGTGGCTTTCCCGATCAACTTTGGATCTCTACTGTAAGTCTCTCTTCCTCTGAATTCTCCTCTATTTTCCGAATGCGTCTTCTGGTGTCTCTCCGTTTTGCTCCTTGTTTTTTTATTTCCTTTTCTTTTGTATCAATCTCCTCCGCCCCTTCTCCTTCGAATGGTTACATCCTTTTATATTGAAATTCTATTGTTGCTGAATGGATGCTCCACTGATATTATGAATAATGGTAGGTAACTTATTGATTTTCTAGATTTGTTTTAGTTTAAAAATCTATTTAATGGAACACTAATATTCTGTCAAATGTTTGTGCTCTTGAGTGATGTTTAGCGTAAGGAGTGACGATGGCTGCTTTGGATTGCTCGGCTACATGCTCGGCGTTCACTGTTGCGGCAGTTGGAGAGGTTGTCATTGTTATGGCGTTGGCTTAAGTTTAGGGTTTTAGAAACCCTAAAATTATTAAGATGTCATATGGGCTTCTGTTGACTTGTACTGGTGTTGGGCTTCTGGGTTGAAAAATGGGCCTCAGGTATTGTTGGTTGAGATGATTGTAATGTGGGCCTGCAAATATTGTAACCAAAATTAATAATAATAATAATAATAATAAATAATATTTCTAATGTTTTTTAAGTCCGGTTAAAAACGGTGTCTACACTTAGTCTAAAGAAACACAAAGGGCGAAAGGAGACAATTTGCATGGGGATTACGTATCACAGATGATCACAAATGTCAATATCAATCTCAAACAAGAATTATCTACAAGAGTTGATAGAGACTTGGGATATTTAGAGAATAGTTACTAAGGAGAAATTTCACAAGAAATATGGTGACATAGTCTATCTCTTATGCGTAAAGATAGATGAGTCGTTGCTTAAAGCTCTGGTTTGATTTCAGAATTTCTTATACAAATGCTTCACTTTCAAAAGACAAGATTTGAAACCAATAATAGAAGAGTACTACTCTATTTAAATTTTGAAAGCCTCCAGGTGTATAGAATTCATTACAGAAGACTTTCGAAAGTCCAATCCTTCAAAAGCAAGCTTGTGAAGATTACAAGATTAATGATAGTAGAACACATCCAACAAATGGTAGAAAGGGAGTGTTTTCATTGGCATTGCCTCAAGAAGGTGATACTAGAGCACATTGATGAGGATAAGGAATTAGACACCTTTGTTCTGGCTATACATGGTTTAGTGATATTCTCAAAGATTGTGCTACACATTGAGGCTTCTGTTGTAGATCTTTTGGATAGATTGGAGAAAGGTATAAGTCTTGCACTGGCTATCTTGGCAGAGACTTTTTGATTCCTAAATGATTGCCATAGATTGGAGGGAATGCGATTCAGAAGTTGCACTTAATTACTCACCATCTAGATTCAGAATCATTTCTGGAAAGAGGAAAAAGTTATTGGGATCATGACTGAGATCATGAAGCTAAATAAAAAGGCCAAACCGCATTCATAGATTGATCTTTCTTGTAAAGATGAAAGTTCTTTTAGAAGAATAAAACTCTTTCTAAGAATGATTACTTTTGGAAATCAATACCTTTTACATTTGCATTCAAATTTTTACGTTTGTATTTACATTTCCATTTTTTGCATTTACATCATGCATTTGCATTTTGTTTCAAACTACTTTACGTGCATTAAATCATGAAAATATGGGAATAATTTGTGGAGGATTTCATGATAGAATTTTCGAAATCAAATTGGTGTTAACTTGGTCTTCCTAGAGAATGATAAGAGCCATGAATGAGATTTTAGCAAGGGTTTGTAGAATCGAGAAACTCCAAGAGCAAATTATCAAGACTCAACAAGAGATGATGGATCAAGCAAAGAAGTTTCAGGATGAGTCAATGGAGCAGATAACCAAATTGATGAACATGGTGAATGTTATGATCTATGGAGAAGAGCCACTAGAGGATCCCATTTTGGATGGGAATATGAATGCTAGTGTTGAAACTGTTATTGTAGAAGGTTCCACTGGGCCCATAATAAAATAAGAGCTAATAAGAGATAAAGTTTCCCTTAGGAAAGTTGAGTCTTACTCAAAGAAGGGGGCATAGAAGAGGACCAAATGATGATCAAGAAAGCTAAGAATGATCAATCTCTCATGATTAAAGGTTCTAACCCTTTACAATCCTCCCGTCAAGATAATCAAGTTCTATCTATAAAGCCATCACCAAATAATCTCTCGTCAGGGGGATTACATGAGAAGAAAAAGCTCATAGCCAGATTGGTTACACCGGGATGTGTCCAGCCACAGTGACCCTCAAATGAGAAGTGGACCTATAAGGTGATTCCTTGGATAAACTAGAACAGAACCCCATATTATTCATTTAAGGTTCCTAGC